CACACACACACACACACACACACACACACACACACACACACACACACACACACACTCGCAAGCGTTCAGAAAGACACAGACAAGCTCCCACTCAGTCCTGTATCCAAGAATATCTCCATACAACAGAAAAAAAGACACATTCTTCCTACATCTGAAACAATGTTGAAAGGAAATACAGACGATCTGAAAACAAAATTTCAAGTAGAGCTAACTCATTGCAGAAAAAAAACAGCATTCCTCGTGTTAGATGTGGTCTGTTTGAGACATTTTGTGTAGAGATGAGATTGAGCTGAGAGAGTAAAGAATGACATGGACTTGAAATTAGGAATTGAGAGACAAAAAATAATCATTCTTTCTTTTAATATGTTTTCACAAAGGCGGACTTTTCAAATAGCAGCTGTGGTGACACTTGGCCCTGATCGGTCTGAAATAAAATGCAGAGAATTTGTCCTTTGAAGCACAAAGATGTTCACACACACAGTGATAGACACAAACACACACACACAACCCGAGTCTGCCGCTTTTGAGCTTATTTTAATTCTCTGTGCCTTAAAAATGTGGCCACTAGATGGCAATGAGTGCTTCGGAGCAGACAGCGGTAATGTCACAGATGTTGTCTGCCCCCTCTTTTGTTTTCTCTCTTTAGAGGAAGGAGACCTCAGCTGTTGAAGGACATTCTCCATTATGGGTTCAATGTTCTTTTGAAAATCAATTCCATTAAAACATGTTTTTTAAAAGGGACAGTAACAAAAGGAAGGTCAGGTGAAGCAGTGTGCAGAGCAGAACTATCAGGGCCGCTTCGATGGGTGTGAGATTTGTCCGTGTGTGTGTATGTGTGTGTGTGTGTGGGTACAAGTGTCTGTATAATTGTGTCCGTGTTTTGAATAATGGTATAGACATCCTTCTTTTGAGCTATGATCAAGAACGCTTTGTGTGCATTAAGGGACTTATAGCTGAGACGTGGGCTAGAGAATGTCAGTGCCGTGCTGGAGGTGTCAGCGTGTCTATCAAGTGGCAGCTTTTGATTTGACATGTTGGCGAATGTTTAAAATAAGCTGCCTCGATTGAAACAGGCGTGTTTGTAGATGAACATTAAAGCATGTATCAAAACCGGCTCCTTTGTTATGCTGAGCGTGAAGTGGCATTGAAGAGCAACAGAATGGAAACTAATACTGCTTTGAAGCAATGTCTTAAAGAAGGTGGTGAGAAACTAAGAGAACTAAACATGTCCCCTTTGGCATTTCTCCCTATTAGATGATACCGTCGTTAACGTCAAGGGGAAGGCGAGAAGCATTTTTGCTGGGTGGAATCGCATTTTTTTTTCTTTTTAAATATATATATTTCAAGTCCAGTAATCCAGGAAGGGATATGCTTTGGAGTGTCTACTGGGCAGCAAATATTACGTTCTCCTACAAGCTATCCCATTCTTGATTCTGTCCATCAGTTCATCAGTTGTGAAAATCAGTCCATAAAAATCTGAGCTGTAATTTTCACCCCACAATGTTTTTTTTTTTTGTTTGTTTTGTTTGTTTTTTTAATTCATCTCCTGAATTAACTAGGCTGACATTCAGCCTAGGCAATGGTCCCTGCGTTTTTGTCCTTTACCAAGCGGTGGTTTCTCCCATCTCCTGGCCTTGGTGGGACATTGGAGCGCTGTAACTGGAATTACTGGCCAAGGAGAAAGGAGGACTGGGCCCACCCCCGAATGCCTCCCCCGGGACAGGCTGAAGTGAGTTTGGTAAGCCCGGCTCTGGACTGGGAGTTTCCGCATGGGAGATCATGTCCGTGAACCTTTGGTCATCTGACGGGTGGTGGCCTGAACCCTCCATCGCTCCGGGACCAGAGCCCAGGATGTAGGGGGAGTCAGCCGGAGATTGAGCCTGTGATGATGGAGGGCCATGGGGAAAGAAGTCGTAGTTGCTCCCTGGTCCATAATAGTCACCTTGGTATTCTGTGGTGTAAGAAGAGAACACATGTGGTTAGACTTTCTATCAGATACATAAAACACTTACAGTTCCCCCAAGCAGTCTACATTTATACACACGGCTCCACCCCTACCTAAGTGGTGAAATTGATCATGTCCAATTCCCAACCAACCGGTCTCCAACAGCCTCATTTGAGTGTATAAACAACTCCACACCTCTCCACCTCAGTTCTCTCGCCTCTTACACAGTGCATTCATCTCCCTCTCCCTCATTCAGCTCGCAGCCATGCGTGTACCTCGATGGATTCCCCTGCAGAAACTTCTGGATTTGGATGAGAAATTCCAAAATGAGATTCCAGCTTCCCTGCAGCCCTGCCATGTCCTGTCGGCTGCTTCTCTCTGTCAGGTCTGATGACAAACACCAGCACTGTCGCTTGCTTCTACATTACTGGGTTGTGGTTATTTGCTGAACTACGGGTGGTTTCTCTACTTTAGTGTTGATCACTCAGCAAAGAATTATTTGATGGCTATTTTTATTATTATTCAACCAGTCCAAAAGAAATGTCAGAGGTCAACACCAGATGTCCCACACAGTTTGACATCTTTTTATTCATTTCATCTGACCAACACTTCACGACACAAAATCAATTATGAAAAAGTAAAAAATAAAAAAGCAAAATTAGCAAGAACAGCTCAGATGTTAAAAGTTAGAAAAGGAGAATGGCATTAAAATGTCGTTAGAAATCTTTTTTTCATGCTATTTCTCCTTTTTATTTATACCTCTCTCCACTGTTTTGTCCACTACATCGTGCTTTCAGCATCGTGTCAGCGTGACTCCATCTTGCCATGTTCCCACTGTGTTTGTATCCAGTGTCACGATAGCTAAGCCCCGATGACAACCATGATATTTAAAGGTTTATTATCAATGTTATGTTAATATTGTATAAGATTAGTATCATAAATAACTGTATAACTGCTCATTCTGTATGTTTTTGTACATATTTATTTCCCTAATCTCTCGCCACAACCTTGAATTTGCTTTTGGACTTCAACCCTCATGCAACCAAACTACCTAATTATGAAAATGACCGAGTGAGGTCATTCAGCATACCTGTGCTCTTTCATTTATTTGACATTCTCAGAATTTCTAATGTAAATAATTATGGGTTTCAGTCATTTTTATGAATTAACAGCATTAACCCATTCATCTCCATCAGCACTTTGGGCATTAAGTATTCGCCTTAATGCTTCTGCAGTAGTTAATCTTTCTTCTCTAGCTCTGTTAGCCAGGAATCCATAATTAACAGAAAAATATATTATAAAAAATATTTTACACATAAACTACAAAAAGTTGTAAGTAGATCAACAATATGTGGTGGGAAAGATTTCAGTCATGACCCTATTCAGCCACTTGAAGGCTAATTAATTCCCAATAAGTAAAATACAACAAACAGCAAAGTTATAGATTAGCTTATGGTTACAAGTGAATTTTTCATTACTGTGATAATCATGAAATGAAAGCAGGTCATTGTGACTTTTTGGACCGTTAGTCACATTATTTAAAAAAGCCAAATATTTTGGCATCAATAGAATTAATCTTTTGATTGCACAGATTTTTGTGCAACGTGTTGTTACACCTATAAGAGTAGATTTACTCTTATAGTGCAGAAAGTGTCAAAATGATCAACTAGATGCATCATACAGAATGGCTAAAAATATATCTGTTGCAGAGCCTTCATGTTTAAAATGCTTCCTCTATAACACTCTGAGCCAGGTCGTGGTTTGTCTTGCCGAAAATGTCTGCACCTTCTCCTGGCGTTCACTTCAAAGCGAACAAAGAGCAAACAACTGACACATTAATAACAGATTTTGTTGCTTTCAAAGATGTTCTTCATTGCATACTTGGATAAATAAATATTTCCTGGTTAACCTATGACACTGACTGGCATGCTTATGCCTCTTAGAGGTTTCAGACATCTCTTTGTGTTTCCTCGCTCGTACTTCTACAGCACAATTTTGTTTCTGGTTCCCATAGTAGAAGAAGAGTTTTGAGTGTCAAAAATAAACAGTGACATCCCCAAAGACTATCCCTGTTGACTGCATAATTAAAACAACTTTCTAAGGGATTATCATCGCTTATAAGATGGTCTTTTGATCCAGAGTACCTGGAAATCTGCCAGTCGAAACACAAAATATGACCTTCTGGTCTCGGCTACAAATGAGAAACCTATACTAAATTTAAACATATCAAATAATGTAGCAGATATGAAGCCGGTAACCATTTACTGAATCAACCCTGCAAACTCCCTGTAACTTCTTTGCATGTAGTGTGTATGGTGCATTTAGTGTTTTAAACTGGCAACAACTATGGTCTTTAAGATGAACACTCGTCTTGCCAAGGCTATTATTAAGGGCAGCCCATGCTACTCTTGAGGTTGTCTCATAGATGTAATGCAATCACCAAAGGGCAGTTCCACTCAGCTTAGCTTAGCACAAAGACTTCTTTTGACCAGCTCAGCACAAACAGTGGAAAAGAAAATGCTAGCTCTGACTGAAGGAAACAAATCCACCCACAAGAATTCACATTAAACTGTGATTGCACGTAGTCATGCAATATAATAGCTTAATTCTACATGCAGAATCGCAACAGTAGTATATTGTCAGTATTTTAGAGACCACCCAAAATGTTGCAAATCGTGTTTTCAGGGGAGCTCATATCCTATATACAGCAGTCGACCTGAAAAAGGGTTTGTATTTGTACTTTTTGAGATTTAATGTTGCAGACAGGAAGATTTAATCTAATAACTAAGACAGACTATAGCTGTTCCCAAGGTTGTATATTGAGCTTTAAGCTAACCTGTTCCTTACATACAAGAAACTTAAATTATATGAATATGTGCCCCTATTATTAGAAAAAACAAAATGAATCGATCTTAAATCAACACAGCTATGCTTTCAAACAGGCACTGCAATTATTCTTCCACTACAGCCAGCACAGTGGACTCAGATGACAAGTAGCCACAGGCAGTGCTTGCACTGCAAAAAGTCTGGAAGGTGATTTTTAAAATGATTAAATATTAAGTGATTTTCTATTTCGTGTGTTGTTCATCATAAGCAATGACCAAAACAGTTTAGAAAGAATTGATTGGCTTAACAAATAGCCTGTTACTTTATACACTCTTTGCATCTACTAATCAACAATTACTACAAACCTTCAACTGCCTCCTGTTTCTCATTCCAAACTCCCAGAGTTGCATTAAATCTATTCGGTTTCAGCACCGCCGTGAACCGAGATCGATGACAGGTTTTATCCCCGTGCCCCAGATGCTACACTAACATTTCTCCACTCCTACCATATGTTCTTCTCGCTGCTATTTCAGTTGAAACGGGGAGGCTCGAGAACTAACAGGTTATACCTCAAGAAACATTCGGCCTAATTGTAAAATCTGCATTTATTTGTCGTAGTGTGTAATTTTGTTTTATTTATTTGTTATAAATTATCAGGAGGTATAATCAAAGGTTTTGCAAACAAGCTAATTGTTAGATTTCCCAAACAGGCTCCTGCTAGTTCAGCTGACCTTGGGGATAAGCAAAAAGCTTGGCTTGTGGTGTGTTCATGTGTGTGCGGATGAAAGAGAGAGAGAGAGAGACCAGGGTAGGTGCTGAGGGGAGTGTCAGCTCTGCAAACTATAATTACACTCATACATGCAGATGCATCATACCACACATACAGGCATCCCTCGCTCTGAACAGCAGCAGAGGAACACGAGGAGGCAGCGAGCTTAGATAAAGGCAAGCAGGCTGGCCTGCGCTGCCGTGGGACAAAAGGGTGTGAAAAGCAGAGTGCAAAGAAAGCGAGAGACATGAGAGCGAGGGATGGAGGTTTTTTGTCCTCTCTTTTCCCCTCCCACTCCCTGTGTTGCAGCCTTGATGGCTCCGGTTTATTGTATCCTCAATGCCAGGGCCCTTCAGGTAGAGGTGCAGGAGGTGCTGTATGGAAACAGCAGCTCACAGACTGTCCATCAAAAACAAACTGCTGATATGCATGACAGGTGCATCGGCTTTATTCCTGCAGTACAGTGTGGGGCGGCTGTTGCGTTAGCGCTGTGTTGTTATCTCGCTCTTTTGTCTTGAGATTATTTTCTTTTGAAGCAAAGGGTCTTTTTTCTCTTTATTTTTTATGACCTTTAAAAAGCAATGTTTTTTTGACAATCTCTACACCAACTGGAGAATCTATTTCAGCAACAAACCAACTCCTTTTTTTATGAAACCTTTGGACTATAAGTGCAAATGCATGCCTTGTTTTCCCCTTGTGGCAGCAGAAATATTTCATCAGGGTGTTGTTCGTTGTAGTTATTTGCATTAGAATGGTCAGTAAATTAGTGCACTAATAAGTCTAGCTTATCTTGTATAGCAATACCTAAATATATTCCTGTATGTGTCTGGCTTTGGTTAAAATGAATGCATCTCTCTTTAAAATGAATAAATCTTCTATTCATTTTTACGTCCTTATCGAACTCACCCTTTCTTTCTTTGAACAAGTATTCTTCTCTCACAGCTGTGTTTTTAAGACGGAAGCTAGCTACTTTTCAGAAAGTGAATGACACTCACAAGTTGTGATCTTGGAAAGGGTTATTAGGTGCAACTTCATGCTGAATAAAAGTTAAGAGAGACAAGAAGGGAGACGTGTTTCTATTGCTGAATGGCACAGAAATCAATTCTCACAAATATAGTGGAGCCATTACAGGTGCCATTTTTGAAGTTCACCATTCTGAAAGGCCAAAAAAATAAATAAATAAAAAAAAAATCACACTTCAGTCATGCCACCCATGCTGCAAGCTTTGTTTGCAAAGTGTCCCACTGGAACATATGTGCTCCTATCTAGCATTTTCTCTCCTAGCTATGTAACAAATGTGACAGTTCAACAGGATTGAAACTTTATTTACATTCCTCTGGGCGTGCTGAGATAACCAGACTACAGAGCTGTGCTCAGAACAGTTAACAGTTAAAAGCTTCTTAGCTGGTTATTGTGTACCACACAAACTGAGTGCAGCGTGCACGAGATTAGACTTAGACTCAAGTCCTGATCATTTCATCTCTGAACAAAAGATGAGTGGATTCAAGAAAGTAATGTGAAAGCAAATGATCCAATAAAGTACACTGGGGCTCCACCTGTATTCTAATATATAGCAGATTTATGTGATATACTTGCAATGTGAAAAACATCCTCCAGGCACCTGCTTTCCTCAGAACTGCAGTTTGCTTACACAATATCACCTTTTTTTGAGTGTGAAACCAGGGATACAGATTATATTTGCTATTGCACTTGCTCCATATTGCGCATTAATATTGCAAGAGGTAAAGAACCTGCAGGTGTGGTATCTGAGTGTATTTAAAGACACAGCAAGAAGTGTGCACTAAATTTGTGCTAGCACTGCATCTGTTGTCACAGCGTTCATTTCTTACCTCCATAGTAACCGTAGGCTCCAGGTCCTAAGATGTCTGGGTCTTCCAGCCTGCCTCCCAGCGGCCTCATCCTCCTCGGGCCCCTGAAGAAGGCATGCCGTCGGGCGCCCAGAGCACTCAGCTGCTTCATTCTCCGTTCTTTGGATCTTCTGTTCTGGAACCAGACCTGAAACAAACCAGGGACTGAGTTATCAGCCGATCTCATCTTTTTTCTTTCTTTTTTTTTCTTTTTTTTCAAATTTGTAGTTTATTGTCATCCTTTTTCAAATCACCATTCACTCAAACTGTAGTAAACCTTGCAGAGCTTGTAAAAACGCACAAATGATGTCGATGTGAGAGTAACACTGGGGTGTGATCACAAACAAAACAAAAATAAATCTGTGAACCACAATTGAAAAGCTAAAACAATTACATATGGACCAACTAATCATTTTAAGGGTTTTTCTTACTGTTAATGCTCAGTGTTGCAAAGTTTGCACCACTTTCAAATTCCACAATTAAATTCAAATGAATTGATTCCTTTAAAGAGCTTTTATTCAGAAGCTGCAAACTATTTCCCAGAAATGACACAACGTACTTGCCTCCCAATTATCTGGCACCTCTGCACCCATTTTGAACTGTATTTACTGTACCACAATTAGCTGTGGCCTGTTTTCATTTGTATTAATTGAGGTGTAAATGCTTGAAATTCAGCTTCAAAAATGACTTGATGGGTTCTATGGGTTTTTAAAGTATAAAAACCCATAAAAATGCCATTAACAGAAAAAGTCAAAGAACTCAATCTCATATGAACATTCTGCAGTGCGACACAAGAATTACATAGGTATAATCAAATCGTTGTTTGCACATAATGAATCGGGAGGCGTTTTGTGCTACAGTGTTAGAGTTCATGTCAAAAAAGCACAAAAGGATCAAAATGAAAAATTAGGAAAGCCAGCGATGACTGAATAATAACAAGAAAGGAACAATTTCTGCTCCATTTTTCCAGTGATGATGGCAGTTTCCTGTTGCAAATTTCAGATGAATAGCAAAGTAATATCAACGGCCCCAAATACAAAGCCATATGAAGTTAAACCACTGAGATTAAATAAACTGTCTTTCAAAGACAAACAAAGGAGGGTTTCAAAATTGCAAAACGGTGCATCATATGGAAGAATGTCTTTGAATTATAAGCACATAACACATCTCGTTTCGCCTTTGCTTCACTGCTGCATAATGATCTATGTTCACACCAGCTAGGCTATGCCAGAGGGAGAATCCCACTGTGCTACAGATTAACAAAAACACACTCACAAAAAAAAAGAAAAACACACACACACACACACACATATCCCCTTCCACACATACACCTAAAACTACTTAGGCTCTGCACTCTGTGCTCCAGCGGCAAACGCAACACCTGCTTATTGAGAACAATCATCTAACTGTAGGGTACATTTTTATGGAAATGCTCTCGCTTCCCTTGAGAGAGCGTTGCTTAGGGATTACATACGCATGCTGGAGAAGCAGCGTGGCTCACAGGGCTCCCTGCGTTGAGAGCAATGGTATTTAACACACACTGAACAGGGAGGAAGATGACGAAACGCAGCCTCCATTTTGGCTCCGAGCAACACACACAGGCGGAGGGTGCAGAGGTGGAATGGGG